CTCTTCCTTATCTGTTCAAGGTGCTAAGTGTAAACCAAGCTCTGTCCATCCAAGCTCACCCAAACAAGGTAATTCTTATTAAGTTTAGGATCTAAAGACTAAAGACATCTAAAGCTATTTTTTTTAACAAGACATGTAGGCTATTACAATGAAATCTTCAATATGTGACAATAAATAGAAAAATGGGAGTAACTCAATTATTCAGCTTTGTTTTTTTATCTTCATTTATTTTCATTGTAATCACGTTTTGCAGAGTCATGCCGAGCAACTGCACAAGGACCGCCCTGATGTGTACAAGGATCCAAACCATAAGCCAGAAATGACCATCGCCCTCACACCATTCCAAGCATTGTGTGGCTTTAGACCTGCAGAACAGATTGTAAAGCATTTAAAAGGTTATTATTCAAAAGTAAAAACACATAGAGGAATGAGTATTTAATCATACTTTACTGTCTGGATTTTATTGTTGCATTTTTTTTTTTTTTTTTTTTTTTTTAGGGTTCATTCTAAAGATAGGAACGAAGTATGCATATCTGTACATATGTTTTGAGATTTAGAAGATCAGTGTTTTAAGTGAAATAATCATATGTTTTTAATTATTACAGAGATTCACGAGCTCAAGAAGGTAATTGGAGATGCAGCAGCTGATGCATTTATTGAAAATCCAACAGAGGATAATTTAAAAGCTTGTTTTTCGGCAATGATGAATGCATCGAAAGACACCATTGCCTCAGCTCTTAGTGAATTACTTCAGAGATTCCCAGGAATGGGTAAGTACCATATTATACTTTAATGAGTATTGAGAAGAGATAATTTTATGCTGCAAAGCTTGTAGTATGATATGTACTGAATGCGCATTCAACATTATATGTATATAATATTACTGAAGTAAGATAGAAACAAAAAATTACTTTCAATGATGACTAGATATTTATAACTTTCCTTTTCCTTTCCTAGGTTTAATATTTATTTTGTTTGCTAGTTTTATGACTCTTACCATCAATATTTTTGGAATCCATATAATTATTTTAAACACGTATTATCTCTGTACAATGAAGTTTTGAATATCTTTCCATTTTTTTTTAACAGACTCGGGAAAAGGCCAAGAGCTTCTTCGGGCATTGTTCCTCACACTTCACGAAAAATATCCTGGTGACGTTGGCTGTTTCTCCATCTACCTTCTGAATTATCTGACCCTACAGCCTGGAGAGTCGATGTTCCTTGGGCCTAACATCATTCATGCTTATTTGCTGGGAGGTGAGGCTAAGGATCTGAAATAGTTTTATGGTCCGATTTTAAGGAAGTGATGAAAAAAATGATGTGGAATGTTTATTGGGCATATGTCAAGACTGTTTGTTTATAATTACTTGTGTACTGTAGATATAGATGTAAAAAGTAACTGTGATTATATAGATGTGTAATTCTTTTCATAGTATTATTGTTTATTGATGATATTTCTCTGATCTAAGATTGCATTGAGTGTATGGCGTGTTCAGACAATGTCGTTCGAGCTGGACTGACGCCTAAATACCAAGATGTAGAAACATTAGTGTCGATGCTCGAATATGGAATGGTTCCTGCTGAGTCGAGGAAGTTCCAAGGGTCGAAGGTCGACCAATTCACGACTTTCTACAATCCTCCAGTTCCAGATTTTGCAGTTGATATGATTGAGGTATACATTGATCTGCTGTGATTTTTTATTTTATTTATTTATTTTTTTTAGCACCTTTCAGATAAATTGTAGATTCTGGTCCAGTTTATTAATGCAAATGTACATAAATATTATTATTTGTTTTAGTGGAGACTACCAAAGTTATTTTTTCTTGAATGATAGTCTGGTTCTCTTTCCTAGTCTTGTATTCCAGTTTTTCTTTCCTGAACATATATTATAAACTGCACTTTTTCACTGTTATTATCATATCCAATCACAGGTTCCAGCTAGTACAAATGAATTCACCCTGAGAAAGGTGGACAGTGCCAGTATCCTCTTAGTAGTTGAAGGAGAAGCAGACAGCGTTGAGGTATCTCCCCAGCCTGTGGGAGACGTGCCAGTTGCAACGTCAGCGCAACGAGGATCTGTCTTATTCTTGGCGGCCGGGCAGTCTTTGTCGCTAAAATTCAAAGCAGGGTCACGTTTCCTGGCGTTCCGTGCTGTTTGTGTCTTATAGAAGTGCTATTATACAATTGTGCTAGTAGCATTACTCAAAATTGGTAAGATATTAATACAGATGTGTGATGTTGATGTTCATGCACATCTGTGTGATTAGTTTATAGTTGCAGATTTCTTAATGTGTTCTCAGTTGACTTTTGAATGTTGGTCATGGGTTTGGACTTATGCAATGGAATGGTATGTATTTTGTGCACAGGGGATAAATTAATAGTATTAAGGTAATAGCAGAAGGTGAAAAAGAGCCTATATTTAAATAGTTTACTAAAAAGTAGTATTATTCGTGAGAAAATGGGTTATTATGACCTTAATCTGTAAATTCACAAATATATTGAGGTTAAGCCTTTTTTCCACAACTGAGAAAAAATATTTCTTGTTATGAGTGAGAGACAAAATTAAGATTAAACATATATTCTTATATTGTATTTTTCATATTCATTAGATTATTTATTTGTTATAGCAAAAATTAAAACCAAAGACCATAGATCTTATCTTAAATTACCAATTTTTCATCCAGATTTCTGTATAATGCATTAAAAACTAAAATAAAATAAGATTTGTTTTAATTTGCTTAACATTAATGTGAATTGGGTATATACAAAACAAACAATCAAGGTATTACTAGATTTATTTAACAACATGGATGTAAAAACAAATGCAGTCAGAATCTCTTGGAAGCATACCACTAGAACATCAAACAAACAAAAACACTGCCATAAATAGCAACATAAATAAATATTTTGTAAAGCCATTTCGACACTTGTTGAACCAAAATTTGAACTTTCAGAAGTTAGAGCATTCAATTTACATGGATTTATACATTGATTTTGTCATTATTATTATGCGTACATTCACTCTTTGGTTTATGAAATACAGATATAGTTTTTATTGGAGATATTTTCTGACAACAAACTTACATGATAAATTCAGGGGAAATAAATAATATACAGTTCATCTTTCTTATTATAAACCAAATAATATATTCAAAAAATAAATTAATCAATAAAATATATAAAGCACAACTTCAACATAAGCTACCATTAACCCACTGGTGATGGGTAATATAATACCATGTCGAGGAACACATTCGCAGACGAAGAGTGGCGTCTTATTTAGTCAAATGTCTGTTCTGATCATAAGTTAATATCTCGTCCATGCTACCACATGCCAGATACTTTCCTTGATTCTGTGTGTATATATAAACACACTCCTTGCCTGACTTTATTAGAAAATTTTCCCCCCATTATTGAGTTAGGTAGAAGTATTCTATACAACCATCCATATCTTGGATTTTGTAGATATGTGGAAATAATATACTATAAAATGGAAAGACATACAGGAGAAACAATGAAAGCAGCACCAACATTTGAACAAAAGAAGCTGCACTTTGGGAAGACATAAACATATAAAATTGCTGCATATATTAGAAAAAAGACAAAAACAAATCAAATAAAGCACTTAATGCTTATTCTAGAAAATAATATGCCATACATAAATTAACTATAAACTAACCAAGAAGCCAGCTTGGGCAAAAAAGTTGTGTATGTGTATGTATATGTATATAAGTATATATATATAAAATATGGACATATGTATGTATGTATATTATATATATATATATATATATATATATATATATATATATATATATATATATATATATATATATATATATATATATATATATATATATATATATATATGCACATGCATATGTTTATATATGACGGCACTGCCAGGATTTTCGGAAAGGGGGAGAATGATCTGTGATGGAAAATGGTTTAGGCTCCCAGAGTTTTCAAAGAAAGAGGGACTATGATGCCTCTCTCCTGTCCAACATATCTATGCCTGCGTGTTTACCTTACAGATGTCATTAATGAACTGTCCATTGCTGAATATTAAATAAACAATTCACATATTTTTAACCCATTCCCGATGGGCATGTCACGGGCATGTCATGTACGTCCATGCCATGCCCACTGTGAATTTACTTGTTTAATTGGTGTGCCCCCCTCTCCTCTGGCTGTGCCATTGATTGTAAATATATTCTGTGTATATGATACAGAATGAGTTTAAATATACCATTGTTTTTTTTGTCTGATATGTTCACTGTGAATAACATAAAGCATTGTTTGATTTATCTTAATTCTAAACAGATTGTAAAGATTGCAAACAGGCACAATTACACAATCAGGGCTCTCCAACATGCATCCAACACCTAATCAACTTTGTACATTTGTTACATTACATCCAATTCATATTTACTATAACAAAAAAAAAAAGACCTGCAAGTTGATACATACAGATCTTCTAACTGAAAATGTTTCTGCAAATACTGGAATTATAATCATGGCCATATCCTCTTAAACTGTGGATATTATCTTATTTTTCTCTATATAAACCATACATGTATATACAACCAAAAGTTTGGACAGCCCTGATTATCATTGACTAGAATCCCATGACTAGTTGAAAAAAAATATTGATTATGTAGTAGTACAATAATTATTAATGTATTTAACCCTCATAGAATTAGTTTTGTGCATTCGGGTTACATTTTTTTAAGATATCAAAAATTAAAGATTCCAATAAATAAATTGATATGGTTTAGAAATATGTCTTCTTTCCGCAACATGAATATATAAACTAAATCTACAGCACAACATACATATTTTTTAAAATCTCACTTTTTTATACTTATACCTAGATTTAGAGGACAAGAGTATAACATTTTTATATCTCAATTCTCCATGATAGGAATACATCTCACTGATATGGGGCTTATGATAAAATTATCAGTTTTGGTTATAGATAATAATTTCAAGAATTTGATTTGATATGGTTCGCAAGCCCAGTTACTAGATTGGAAAGGAGAGAAAGAGGGAAAAAAGGTGGGTGAAGGAGAGGGAGAGAAGGGGAGGGAGGGAGAGAGGAAAGTAAGAAAGGAGAGGAGATAAAGGGAGAGGGATAGAGGAGAGGGCAGATAAGAGAAAAGGAATAGATAGAAAGAAAGAGCATTAAGTAAATGATGAAAGAGTGATAGACATCTCTCACATATCCTACCTACATATGCATTCCAGTGCAAGGATTAGTAAAACTAGCGCAGTTAATGGCAGAGGTGCGCTTGTTGTTATTGGCTGGCACGGGGACACGGAAAAGCTGGCCTTGGGGCTTACACATACACAGCTTGTACTGGCCACGCCCATTCTCATCGTCCACGTCGCCCGCCAGAGGTAGAGTGTTGACGTCGACCATATATCCGGCTCCGGCGTCCAGAAGGATGGACCCGTTAATGCTCTTCAGATAAATGTCTTGATCCGCAGACCATGTGAGTTTTTTGGCATCGAATGACATTCCTTCATTGCCCTTCAGGCGAATCTGGGGGGGGAGGGAAGAGGACGTTATGTATTGTTAGAAAGTGTTTCTGTTATTATTATCATTATTGTTAGAATTTTTACTTAAATCATCATTATTATAATGTTTCTGACTCTACTGATAACAATAAATAAATAACATTTCTGAAAATCAAGGAAGAGGGTAGACAAATGAGATAGCTAGGACACATAATTGATTCCTTGGTAACTAAACACTTATATAACCATCTATGTATGAAAGCAATAAATACACTAAAATCACAGAGAGCATGGCTTGTACATACATGCCATCACTAGTAGTTATTATGAAAATCAATGAGCACCTAATTTAATCATAAAAAAAAAAATCTTAGAATACTAAAAAAAAAAGACAAATAAACAAATAAATCAGTAAACTCAACCTACAGTAGAGCCTGAACGGATCTTCAGGTCAGACGAGGTAGGACTTGTGACACGCGCAGCTGTGCTTCTCACCACGTTTAGATTTCTGACGCCTTGTGGGAGGCCGAAGTTGGGGTAGTCGGTGGAGAAGACTGTGTTGCCGGAATCTGGGTCAATTACCTAGAAATTTGTAAAAAATAAAAAAAGGAAGAAAAAATAATAGATTATTTGATATGTATATATAAAAAAAATGCAAAATAATAAAAAAAAAATGTTCTCTTCTGCATATATCTATCTGCTACAAATTAGTATATGTACCTTTCTGTCTTAGTTTTTAAGGTCTTTGCTCAAACCTTACTTAAAAAAAAAAAAAAAAAGAAAGAAAGAAAAAAAAGCAAAACAGAGCTTGACAAGTGGAATCTTACCTGAAAACTTTCAACACTTTTAATCTCAGTTTCGTCGGGTCCAACGTCTAAAGATGGAGGTGCTGAAGAAGTCCTCAGACTAAGTGAAACCTAAAAAAAAAAACAAAGAAAGAAAGAAAAAAAATCACAATCTGAATATCTTAAATAAGACAATAAACTTCATACTATCCCTCACATTTATCATGGCATTTCATATTGAATATTTTCTAGAATACATTAGATTAACTACTTTAAACACCTTCAACAGAACACCAATAAACCTTTTAATATTTCAAAAGTGTTACAGTACGATATACATACAACATACCTTGCTATTATCCCCTTGGATTGAGAAGGGAACATCAGCATAGCCATATATAATGCCGTCCTTCTTATACACGTTGCCCAGATCTGCACGGCCATAGAATTTCGTTGCTCTATAAGGAGATTTAGTGCGTTAGTGGAAAGCCTTTCTATTTTTTTTTTCTTGATAGTGTGATAAATTAATTCATGATCTTTTAAACAAGGCACTCATTCAAAGCAGATAAATAGAAGAAAGATAGAATACATATAAAAACCTACTGGTACCGCTTTGAATCTCAAAAATAAACATGTAGATACAGAAACTAATTTTTTTCAGAAAAACGCAAAAAAACTAAAAGACCATAAAATAGAAAAGACAAAAAAATATCCCCTTCCTCAAAAACATAAAAAAAAAGAAGACATTTCACTCGCCTTGTATCAGGTAAGATTTCAATGCTCTCCATGCCGTAGCCGAGCCGAAGGACCCCCATAGCAAAGAAGGTGAGGAGGAGGTTCCCCGACGCTAAGATGAGCAGCACCACCACGAGGCCCCAGAAGAATCCGCTCTCCCCGTGGTTCGCCTCGCTCCGTTTCGGGGTTGCTTCTCTGTCAGTGCTAGGATTGGGAAAAAAAAAAAAAAATATATATATATATAATAGACTGATTAGAAATTAGAAAAACATATATAATAGAATGATAAGAAATTAGAGAATGGTGTGTAATTAATTGAAACTAAATGCTTTATGCGAATAAATATTCACTATAAAAGGAAGAAGCAAATAATTCAAGTCTTATAAATGGAAATAAAATAATCTTTAGCAATATTAAAACATTTTACAATGCTATTCATCCTAAAATAAAGAAAACCATACAAAACCACTCTATTACATAACAACCCAGAACCCTTATCATCATAATAAAAAATAAAGAAAACCATACAAAACCACTCTATTATATAACAACCCAGAACCCTTATCATCATCAACAATCACAATCAACCACAAGACAGATTTGTACCTCGTGGTGTGGTTAGTGGAACGTGACTGCCGAGTGAGGGTGGCGCGCTCCAGTGTGCTTTGTGCCAAAGACGTACTCTCGGCTAAGAGGGAGGCTGCGGCCGAGTCACCCATTCTCTGGAAATGAAAAGAGTTTTTTTCTTTTAATGTATGATTTTACGTGAAAATCGGAAAAAAAAAATATATGTTACTATGAGAATTTTTAAATATATATGTGAGATATTCACCATTTCATTAATTTTTTTTTTTTTATTATTATTCTTTAGAAAGAAATGTTCACTTTGAAAGTCTTTGTTAGTTTTCCAATACATGTTTTTACTTGGGAGTCATAGTATGTAAAATGAAATTAGAAAGAGAAGAAGAAAGTAATGATGAAGAAGATGATGAAAAAGGAAAGGTAGAAGAAGAAAAGGAAGAAGATAAGGAAATGAAGAAAAGGAAGAAGAAGAAATGAGAGAAAAAGAAAAGAAAAAAAGGAGAAAAGGCATAAAAAGAAAAAGTAGAAGAAGAAATGGCAGAAGAAGAAGAGGAAGAAGAAGAAGAAGAAGAAGAAGAAGAAGAAGAAGAAGAAGAAGAAGAAGAAGAAGAAGAAGAAGAAGAAGAAGAAGAAGAAGAAGAAGAAGAAGAAAAAGAAAAAGGAAACCATGAAACCCTAAACTTATACTTCCACTTCATCCATCCTGTCGTATTAAATAAAAAGTTATTGATTATCACCTTACATAAATATTCATAAGAAAGAATAAAATGATATAATGTCTCCCAAAATACGTGTTCTAACATAAATTAACAATTATTCTGAATCTAAATATTATGATTTAATGTTATTTAATGTTTAATGTTTTTTAATTTAATGTTATTTAATGGTTTAATGCTATTTAATGTTATTATTACAATTATCAATGTTATTATTCTCCAACCTCTAATTCCCTTCTATTCTATTTTAACTGAACTTTTATGATTATCTTTGATATATTGATTAATCTAAAAATTACTAAAAATTATTTCACTTCAAAATAATAATAAATAAGTAATAAATAAGTGATAAATATAAGTAAATGTAAGTCAAATTGACATACGTTGAAAAAAGGCATAAATATGGGTTTATATCGTTATCTATTCAAGGGATGATATATGGAGGGCTTAAAAAACCTTCTTTGTAATAATTATTTTATCCACTTTTGCTTAAAAGTACGTTAATAAATACATTTTATTTACTTAAAATTCTGCGATGTTCACTAATGGTGTTGTAAGTCGAAGTCAAAGTTACGTGTTCGATTTCTCTTCACTATATCAAAATGATGGATTCTAAACCAAAGAATGGTCATAAAATAAGATGAAAAATACGTTAGAAATAAGAAGTGATGAGAAAAATATATCATGAGATACACACATGCTGATGATGTGATTTCGTGTTAATTAAACTAACATACAGCTTTAACCTTTCGAGGATTGAGACAAGAGGTAAAAAGTCGTCTGCTAGTTCAATCTGCCCTGTGATTGGCTAAGACTAGATACACCTTCCCTCTGATTGGCCGAGACTAGATACACCTCTCCTCTGATTGGCTAAGAGAAAGAACCAATCACAGAACAAAGCTGATCCTCCTAAACTTACACATCTTTTTGGCATAAAATAAAATAAAACAATATCATCAAATTAAAAAAAACAAAATAAGAAATAAAATCTCTAACCAAAATAAAAGAAACCATTACTAAAAAATAAAAAAAACACATACTCCCTTAAAAGCTAGAGACAAATTTACCAAAAATACTCGTAACTTCACCTTGTTGATGTTTTCTCCCGTTTCCCCAAAAAGTCCCCAAAAAATTCCTCCTCTTATTTATCTCTTATTTTCCTTCATTTCCGGCGTCGTAAATTCTCCGAGCGGCATCATGTCATGAAGAGAGTCAATGTGGGCGTCTCTCCTACTGTAGGTGAGTGTTATTTATCCCAAAGGAAGGGAATTTAACCCAGAAAATAGAGGGTTATTGAAAGTGACTTCTGAAATTCTTGCGTCAAATTTACTAATTAATTTTCCAGGTAATTAAACGTTTTTATGGAGATATTTATGAATGAGCAACATTCTTTATGAAAGGGTGCATAAGCTCTACATACACAAGATAAATAAAAGTACTTATATACTTTCCTATGATAAATATAAAAGGTGATAAACGTCACGTCAGAACAGTGAAGTTAAGTAAGCTTATTTACCCCCCTGGCTCTCTGCTCAGGCGTGGGCAGTCATGATTACAGCTTTACATATATCTGACACAGTACAGTAGGCTGTGACTACTGTAATAGTACATGGTAGTATAGAAATATGTCATACATCATACAAAAATAATACGTTGATATGCTTTTGCCACTGTGTTTACATAACACTGTGTTTTTGTTTACGGCAGTTTTACAGAGTAAATTTTGGATATAATACAAGTATATCTTCCAGTGTATCAGATGAAATGAAATATTCACATAGTTCTCTATACCTCTTGTTAGGTGGTCTGAAAGGCTGTACCACATGACATTCCGAGATATAATGCTCAAGCGTTCGCTTGTTTTCTTCGTTACACAGTCTACATTTAGAGTCATCTGCACTTCTTGCACCGTGCAGTTGCCAATACATTCTGTAACCTAAACGTATTCTGGCAATAACCACGTCACATTGTCTGGTTCGACTTCGGTGCCACTCATAGGAGGGCTTGCTATCTCTATACTGATCGTAGTGCCTTATGGTACAGCTTTCAGGCCTTTGAGTGTTCGTCAGATCTACTAGTTCTTCAGAACAAGTGACTTTCATTTTCAGTTTATTTATTACTTGTTTAGTTTATTTATTATTTGATTTTTTATTATTCAGTTTATTTACTTATTATTTACTTATTTATTTATATACATTTTCAGTTTATTTTTTGTTTTTGTTTTAATCCCTAGGAAGCAGAGTAAATTATCTACATATATTTAATCAACCGATTAATTAATAATTAATGATATAGAAATGTAATAACTAAGTACTTAAATCGTATAGTGTCAGTAGTAGGTAAACTGTGAGAACTTTATAGCCATTAAATTCGTAGACTATTTTTCATTAGAAACTAGTTATTTGATTAGTTGAACAAGAAGAAGCACTAATTAATGTAATTAACACTAATCACCATAACCATTGATAATTGATGGTGAATTTATCAAATAAGAAACCAGACTATGCTGAGTCTATCAGATAATATATTTTTCTTTGGTATATGTTGCAAAAATGTTGAAGGCATTATCTTGCAACATTTACAGGTATTATTTATTCATTTATTCTATGTAGGCCAACTTTTTAGCTGTGTCTTGCTTGATAATGATTTTTTTTTTTTTTCAAAGAGGTATTTGAGAGGAACCTAAAATAATACAAGAGCTTGGTATGTATATAAAGTGAAATTAAGGATGGCATTTATATTCATAAGTGAAGTAGAATATGTATACTGTAATTGCAAGTTACTGATGGAAAGTCTTTAGCTATGATTTTATTATTTGCAATAGTAGATTAGAGTTTTTTTTCATAAGAAGTTTGTTGATGTGTAAGATAAATACACATGTTTGTTAGTGTGTTGGGAAGAAAACTTTTTGATAATGTATTTTCATATATTTCAAGGTTTATAACTCATTCTGCCTATGTAATATATAAGGGTTTTGTAGGAATATTTTACCAGGGACAAATATAAAAAAAGGAAAAAAAAGGAAGAAAGCAAAGATTATATGTATGTATGTTTGTATATATGTATATAATTTTTACTATTTGTCAGTTTGTTTGTGCCGTATGTATATATATATATATATATATATATATATATATATATATATATATATATATATACACATATATACATATATGTATCTACACATACATACATACATACATATATACATCATACATACATACATACATACATACATACATACATACATACATACATACATACATACATACATACATACATACATACATACATACGTGTGTGTGTGTGTGTGTGTGTGTGTGTGTGTGTGTGTGTGTGTGTGTGTGTGTGTGTGTGTGTGTGTGTGTGTGTGTGTGCGTGTGCGTGTGCGTGTGCGTGTGTGTGTGCGTGTGCGTGTGCGTGTGTGCGTGCGTGCGTGTTTTTATATATATATATATATATATATATATGCATATATATATGTATATATATATATATATATATTTACCTATTTATTTATTAATTTATTAATATATTTATATATATTTCGCCAGATTATCACTTTTTAAGCATGCTTCTTGAACCATTGTACCCTTTGAAAGTTTTTTTTTTGTATTTTTTTAGAGGAATCTTTGATAGGTTACATTTTAAAATATAAAGTCTGTGTTATTTGTGCAATTAGTTTGTAAGCAGACATTCTTACCATCAGAAATATTGTAGTCCCTCTTTTCCATGCCATCAGGAGAAATGTTAATTTTTGTAATGAAAACTTTTAGGCAATCATAAATTATAGTGCAGGTGTTTCAGTAAAGGATTTTTATGTGTGTTCCAGTCTGCGAGAATTGAATTCTTTCATTGTAATCCAAATAAAAATCCAAATGAAAAAAACTTTTGAAGCATCAGTGGAAATATGTAGGTAAGATTAAAGAAAAAGATACAGGAAATTTGTTTGGGTAAAGAAAAATTGTATGTAATAGTCCCATAGTTATTAGCATAACTGGAATCATTATTGGCAGGTAATGTTATCTTCTAAAACTATTCCATTAGCTCTGTACAGGTCAGTCAGTATGTATTAGCATATAGGCTGTATATGTATCTAAAAGACCTGTTTCTTGCTTTTTGAAATTTGAATGAATGATTACTGATAAATTATGTGATATGACTTATATCACTTGCCTCACAGTGAAGAAGGGAAGAGAAAAGAAAAAAAGAGAGGTGGCTGTTAGGGCCCTATCACACTAGGATATTTTCTGTCAAGGTTTGGGTTTCTGTAAGAACTTTCTGAATACAAATGGTCTGAGCCTATCATTCTACCAAGGGAGCAGACATAGTGCCCATGTTAATAAATATAGTACCATCCAATTGAGGTCCTGGGAATCCCATGAGCATTCTCATACATATCACATTATTTTAAAGAGATATAATTTTGTATATTAGATATAAAGATATTTGGGAATATTATCTTGTGTTTACACTAAATTATTCTATCTAATTTATCAATAAAATATTCTAGATATATAGTTCCTCTGTAGCATAAGATCAAGACAGAAATTAGTCAGCCTGAAATGGTCGCTACCGTCTTCATCTGGGAGGTGTTCTGTTTGGATGTGATACAGGCAGAGAGCCTCACATTCAAGTGAAAACACAGAAATTGACAGGAAAGGGGATAGTTTGACAGAGCCTTTCATGTTTCTTCACATCGTTGTGTTTTTCCACATGATGTAGTGTGTTTAGTGTCATTTCAACTTTGTCATGCTCGTCTGAGAATTTGGACTGTCATTGTGATCTCATTTAAATGGAAGAATATACAAGCAAGTCATCAGGCAAAGGTTTACTGGGTCGCATATTTTACTGTGTGTAAATAAATATTGAGGTAGTTTAGAAGAAAGTGGATTTTCAATGGCAAGGCAAGCATTTATTATATAGACTGTTCCTAAGAATGTGAAGTACTTTTGAGGTTTAAGTCTTATTTGTCATTGGTTATTCAGATCAATTTTTTTGTATATGATCTGTAAATCAAAGTCTACCTTTATAGCATAACAGAATGTCATACTCATTTAAAATAAACAAAATCAGTTTAATGTAAGAGGAAAAACACTCAAGCACATTGAATTAATCAGTGTTGGATTGAGTCCAGATTGTATGTAATCTGTAGGTTAATTATAGGCAAGGGAGCTCATGCCAGCTGGTTTCCCTAAGTTCAGGTTTATCTATAAATGGTATGAAAAATTGCAGTGCCAGGTGGTGATAAAACTGAATGTGACTTTAATAGGAGTGATCTTTTTGGCTTGTTAATGAAACACTGTTATTTTCATTATTTGCTCTGTGGTATATTTTGCTTGAGGTTTAATTCTGTGTTTGTTTTCATGGTTTTTTTTTTTGTTTTTTTTTAGGAAGAATGATTTTTTTCCCTGTTTTGTTTCCATAATATTTTTTTTTCCACAGATTTATTTTTATTATTAACTTATATATAACTTCTTTAACAAGTGAAACTCACCCTGCTTCCTCTCCTCTTCCCACCACAGTATGGAAGGTCCGACTGAAACAATGATGAATCTTCGTGTAGGACAGACAGTCGTGCGGGTGGCGGGGGGAGATGAGGGGGTGGCAGTCGCAGGGGAGACGTCCCTACGGGGACCCCCATCACCCACGGGGCTCCCCTATGCCTCAGACAAGCATCCCAAGCTGGCACTGGCAAACATCAACATGCTGCAGAAGAGGAGGGAGCTGTGTGACGTTGTGCTGATTGTTGGCGCAAGGAAGATTTTTGCTCACAGGTTTGTTTTTTTTTTTTTCTCTCTCTCTCTACTGGATTAGGATAAGTTCTTTTTGAGTGTGTTACTTGAATTGATGTGTGTTTTTGGTAGCAATGTTATGGATAGCGTCCTTACTTGTATACTATTCATATATGCTAATTTTTTTTACTGTTTGTATCTGTTGTATAGAACAATGATGAATATACACTATCTTTTATCTTTCTTTTGTTATCAATGAATTAACTAATTTTTTCAATATTTCCTTCCAGAGTAATCTTATCAGCATGCAGCCCCTATTTCCACGCCATGTTCACCTCGGAACTCCTCGAAGCCAGACAAACAGAGGTGCCGATCCGGGACATAGACGAGCATGCCGTAGACCTCCTAGTTAATTTTTGCTACACTTCGGAGATCACTATAGAGGAGTCCAATGTGCAGACCCTTCTCCCAGCAGGTGAGGTTGAAGTGACTCTAATCATGAGACTGTTAACTAATTCAATTGTCATCTTATTTGCATAAGGTGAATATCTTTGGACTGAGCCTGTGATATAGTCTCTGCTATGACTCGGTGGGTCCATGCTTGCTTCCCAAGTCTAAATTTTTAAATCTGTGCCATGAGCTGGTCCATAGTTGAATATATATGGGCAGTGATAGTATCACAGTCAAGCAAGTGCAAAAATGAAAGAGTATAGTTGCTCTCAATAAAGATACTAAGATTATTCATTTGCTAACCGATCTCTTTCTTTTTTTTCCCCAGCCTGCCTGCTTCAGATGCAGGAGATCCAGGATGTGTGCTGTGAGTTCCTGAAACAGCAGTTGCACCCCTCAAACTGCCTGGGTATCAGAGCCTTTGCCGACACCCATTCCTGCCGTGACCTGTTGCGCATTGCCGACAAGTTCACCCAGCATAATTTCCAGGAGGTAAGAGTTGTGAAATTAATGTTCTTATTGTTTATAATTATTTTTATTATGTATAGGAAGTGATATGCACACATAGCTTTATATAATCTGCATCTGTTTTTCTCACCTGTCTATCTACCTATCATCAAATGCCATTATATTATATCTCTTCATTGCTCTATCGATATGTGTATGTTTGAGTCTGTTTTTCCTTTTCTCTATGTTTATATGATTATCTATATACCTATTTATCTGCCTGTCTGTCTGTGTTTCCATCTGTTTTTCTGTTTGATTGCAGTTGTCTTTTTTTTTTTTCTTTGCCTTCCTGTTTATCTACCTAATTGTCAGTCTGTCTGCTTAAAAAAATATAGGTATTTCTCTGTTTGATTGTTTACTTCTGTCTGCTCTTGTCTCATTATCTTCTCTCTAAGCAGTTCATATATCTGCCACTTTAGTTGTCTAGCTGTCTGTTAGTAGGTCTTTTAGTCTTTTTATTCAACACCTAATCTGTTCACCTGGCTCTCTGTCCATCTCTCCATCTGCCTTCTTGTATATCTGCTATGTCTGTTTACCACTTCTCATTAATATAGTATAGTGTCTGTCTGGTTGCCTCTGTGTCTGTTTGTTTATTTAAATATCCATTTTTTGTTAAGCATCCATCTATCTCCCTATTTCTGTGACCTTTGATGATGTAAATAGAACTTAACAACACATAATTTTCCAAAGGTAATGGAGAGTGAGGAGTTCATGGAACTTCCCGTGAATCAGCTGATGGACATCATCTCGAGTGACGAGCTAAATGTCAGATCGGAGGAGCAAGTGTTTAGTGCTGTCATGGCCTGGGTCAAATATAATGTTACGGAAAGAAGACCTTATCTGGCACAGGTCAGTTTTACTCTTGTCTGTTCATTTTTTTTTGCTGTATACATTTTGATTTATTGTTTTTGTTGTTGAATTATGAAATGCATTGAATGATTTGAAAAAAAAAAAAGAGTTGTATGTAAGATTTGCATAAAGTTAGGCCTTCTAGAAATTTTTTTTAAGATTCTTGTTCATGAGGTTTGTCTGTTTTTTTCCATTTTCAGGTTCTTGAACATGTCCGTCTACCTCTGCTTAGTCCAAAGTTCCTAGTGGGAACAGTTGGGTCTGATCTCCTCATAAAAAGTGATGAAGTAAGTACAGTTTACCGGTTCTTATCATTTGCTACTATAAAAGATTATCTTGAGTTGTTATGTGTATTTGTATTTGAATGTGTATTAAATTGATTCATCTAGAAAAATATGAAATCCTCACACTTAGCATATTAGTATCTCCTTTGGTACATGTATATCCACTATGTGAATTAATTTTGTGGAAATACCCTAAATTCATGCTCTTTCTCTCCCCAGGCCTGCCGAGATCTAGTAGACGAGGCCAAGAACTACCTGCTGTTGCCACAGGAACGCCCCTTGATGCAAGGTCCTCGCACCAGGCCGCGGAAACCTATCAAGACGGGGGAAGTCCTTTTTGCAGGTAGACAGGATTGGTTCTCTGGTTATGTGCAATAAGGTGGTCTAGAAAATGTCTTGGGTACAGGGAATAGAATCTATAAATAACTGAGGTTTTGGAGCATTCCAGTGAGCTTCAAGTTTCCATATATCAGCTAGAAATATCATATATATATATATATATATATATATATATATATATATATATATATATATATATATATATATATATATATTTATATATATAGTGTGTATATCTATCTATCTATCTATCTATATATAGATATCATGTATATATCATGTATTACAGAGGATATGATTTTCCTTAGATACTCAAAGACCCTTTCCTTCCTCAGTGGGGGGCTGGTGTAGTGGAGATGCAATAGCTTCCGTGGAGCGGTTTGAGCCCACGACCTGCGAGTGGAGGATGGTAGCCCCCATGAGCAAGCGGAGATGCGGGGTAGGCGTGGCGGTGCTCTCGGACTTGCTGTATGCAGTGGGGGGGCATGACGGACAGTCCTACCTCAATAGTGTAGAAAGGTGGGTCTTGTTTTGAGTTTTGTGTGTTTTGCAGTGTGGTAGGGGAATAGGTAAGGGATGATCTGAACTTTAGAAAACCTATGTTCGTTCTATACAAATCCTGAAGTGACCGATTATCATGTAGTAAAAGTAGTGTTAGCATCATACGCCAACCAAAATAAGCCAGACTGCTCCCTTTATCCCCCCCGACAGATATGACCCTCAGACTAACCAATGGCTGTGTGAAGTGGCACCCACTAGCACCTGCCGAACGAGCGTAGGCGTGGCAGTCTTAGACGGATACCTCTATGCTGTAGGGGGACAGGATGGGGTGTCCTGCCTCAATGTAGTTGAACGGTAAGATGTGGTTTGAGTAGATCCTGGAGAAAGTTCTTTGTTTCAATTGGATGGTTGTCTGTATTGGACTTTTTTTTCCCCCCTCCATGTGTGTGTGTATAATGTATGTGCATATGAGATTGTGCATTTTGGTGCTTATCTGC